GAAAAATAAAACTAACACTGATAGGATGGTAAAAATAGGGCCGCGAAGCGGCCCATTGATGGCGCGGAGCGCCTTCAGGGGGTTGGGCCGCGTAGCGGCCAGGGGGCGTAGCCCCCTAGTATCATCTACATATAATGCCGTGGTGGAAATATTTTGCGGAAATTTGCGCTATTTGGCAACGTTGAAGAGCACGAATGGTTGCATCCAGACTTAGTCGTTGGAAAAATCGGAGCGATCCCTTCAAACGGTTAAAATTCCTGCTCACTCCCCTTCCCCCTCCCCCTAAATAGGTGTCCTTATTTGGATGTCATACTTAAGTGAAAAGTGCTTGCTCACTTTCTTTTGCAAGACCTCCTTCATTCATGGCTCTTAAGTGGAAGCTTTCTGAAGGAGAAAAATTAATTAGGAGTGGAGATAATTGTAAATGCGGTGACATCTTTTATTACTAGTCTCCTCTCATTGTTTTTTACTTTTTACTTTCTCATTCCGTTTGTTTTTCCTCTTTTTTTCCATTCGATTGACAACAAAGTCCGTAGTTTTAAGTTTTTCTCCTTGACATTTGAGATTTAAGTGTGCCAATCTCCAAACCATTCTCATGCACTCAATGAGTAATATTCTCAGCTCTGCAGATCCATATTGATTGCAGTGCTTAATATGTAGTGCTACATTAAAAAAAGTTAAATCAGCAGAACATCGTGCGCAGTATGGGTGCGATGTTTTGAAGATTTTGCACATGAGTAAATAATTATATGCGTCTACTTGGCATCTCTCTCATATGGAAATAAGCGTCTGTATTATTAGTTGTATCTCCATTTTCATTTCGAAAAATGGTGGACTTCCATTCATTGTCGTGCTCATCATGTTACAGAGTTTTGAAACCATTTCCAGTATGCATTTAATCCAAACAATCAGTGCGTTGCACCCCATGTACAGATATGCAAAAAGACTTTCGATAGGTAAAATCACCAAACAACCCCCCCCCCCCCAAAAAAAAAAAAAAAATTCAAAGCAGTTTAAAATGACCAGTTGCGCGGTCAGCATCAGTTTCAGTGGGAAATTCGAAAATGCAAGAGATCGGATATGCAAGTAATATGCTCAGTAGTGAATACCTATTTGCGTACTGTACTGCACTTATTTACCGCGATTTTTGAGCGGTTTACCCCTGTCTAAGATTATTCATCTATCTATATTTTAACACCAAAAAAACAAAAAAAAAACAAAAAAAAAAAACAAAAAACAAAAAATCGGAATACCTCCAGCAACAGGATGGGAGAATAGTGCTGGAAATTTACCTGTATCTCGCGAGTTTACCAGACCCAAGAATGAAACAGTTTTGCCATTATTCAATTTCAACCATTTAATGAGGCTATTACAAACTACAGTCAGAGCAAATGCGATCTGCTTTTCATGGAAAAAGCATTAATGATCAAGATTAGTGCATTCATTAGGAAAGTCCAAAATTTATTCTCTATCTCGCAATTCGCAACTCTGGAACACCGCAATGGAGACAATGCGTAGATTTGCACTACAGTCATCGATATGCCCTGCAGACCGATTTTGTCCGCATTGATATCTCAAATCGATGCGTAAGAACCCGCGTAGATTGATGAACAGCCTCAGATCGCATCGATAACCAACAAATCAAAATCGAATATTCGATCGTTAGTTTCAAAAACCACCCGCGGGAGCGCTAACAACCACAACGACTTCGGGTTTCGATTGATAAACTTTTTCTCACTCTTTATTAATGCCGTTATCGACTTGAAAACAATCGGCCCGTTGGCCTTCTTTTCCTGACAGTCGCTTCATGAGTTTGTCTAACGTCTTGTTTCAGGTAAAATTGGAACTCAAAATGTCAGACGCACAAGCACAGGCAGCTGAATACGAGTCGTCCTTAGGGGACTTGACGGTAAACAGCAAGCCTCTAATCAATGTACTCACAATGCTCGCAGAAGAGAACATTGCTATTGCTCCTTTGATCGTCAAAGCTATAGAAAACCACATCCAAACGGTAATTTATTCTTTTTATTTTACAAAATTTCCTCTCACACTTTCCGCTTCCAAAGTTACCCATGAATCCTTAGTTGCATCAGAAGATAAAAGCACTAGAACCAATGTCGATTTTTTCCACTTCTTGGGGAAATGCATGTCCGTCCATTACATCCAAGTTAAAAGTGTCAATTCTTCGATTGTTTCCAGAAATCCTAGTTTAGTTCTGATGAGATTAAATTGATTCTGAAGTATCTCTGATCATGTTAAAAGGATGCATTTTGGTGTATGCTAAATTTGCACCAGTGAAATTCCATAATGATATTTATAGTCTCCTGAGGTCACAAAATTGTTCATTTAATTCGTATTGATGAGTCCCATCAAAAAAAATTAAGTACATATAAAATTGTGCTGCGAAGTTAATCAGCTTGTCCTTTAAGAAGTATTGATATTACAGTCTATCGATACCTTGTAATCTCCGTGAAGTTTTACTCGTAAAAAATTCCAAAACAGGTACCACCTGCACTAGAAACACACTACGAATATTTTGGAATTTTTATGGAATGAAATCTTGAGGAAGTAAGGAATGAGGTGTTTACAGGCCATGCTATCAGGACCTACCTTTTTTGGGACTAACCACCTCTTGGCAGCAGAATTGCATTTGTTCATGTTTTTTTTTTTTATATGATATCATAGGCTCCAAGTAGTGGTTTTATTTGTCTCCTCTGAACATACACTTATACTATGAGAATATAAATTATCACCATTCTTTTAAGTCATCAAGTGATTTTTCCTCTTGAGGATAGGGAAGACTTAAATTGCTGTAGAAATCAGCATAAGTAGGTAACTCGTTTTATTTCTGGAATATCAGATCTCCATGCAGAATCAATTATTTTAAATACCTAACGACCTAAAAGGAACTTTCATGACACCTGCAAAATGATTATATGGAACAAGTTGATCATGTATTTAGTTAGCAGTTTATGTAAGTAAAAATTTGAAAGCTGCATAAAGCGGCAAAACTAAGGCTTTAAAAAACCAAGATTTCATGAGTATGTTTCAAGGTTCCAACAATCCTGTTTTTAACCGGACGAAATAATAATAATTAAAAATTCATTCGTTTCTGGAATCATAACAACTAAGTAATGTATCGTTTGATCATTGGTCTTTTCCTTCAACCTTGCCAATTCCAACAGTTTTTGAAGATATTTCACTTTTTGATGAGATTAAAGTTTCAGTCTTTTTATAAAGTGTGTTTATAATTATAGGTCTCTGGGGATGTGAAGTTACCAGCTCTGTATTTAGTGGATTCAATTTTGAAAAATGTGGGCAAAGATTACACAAATCTGTTTCTGCGGAATCTTGTTTCGATGTTTTGCGGAGCTTTTGAAAAGGTTTGTAAACTGTCTCAGCATTCATTTGTTCTTCTTTTTGTTTGTTTGCTTGTTTGTCTTTTTCTTTTTGCTTTTATAACTACCAATCTTGAGCTATGAGAAGGGGGAAATGATGCGCTGTACGATAGAAGTTTAGTGGCCCAGAAATGCACTAGTGGGTCTGTTCTACACCAGAGGCACAATCATCTGAGTCAGCTATTATTGTGTACACTTGCAATATTGAAATTATTAGAAAAATATATTCCTAAGCGCACCATTTGCTGCATAGTTCGTTTTTCTCGCTATCTGATCTGTGTTCAAAATATCTGTTACTATCTCCTTCAGAAGTTGATTGCGGGCTTCCCGCCATAAGAGTCGTTTTTTACGTGAGATTTGGATGGGAAAACATGTTACATTTCTTTCAGTGCTGGCTAGTGCCCCATTCTTCTGGTGCCTTTTTTTGCAGCTTTATTTCTTTACTCATTATTAATGATCTCTTTTTGATCAAATTCAGGTGGACGAGAAGACAAGGTCTCAGATGTTTAAATTACGTTCAACTTGGACGAATGTGTTACCACCTATGATTCTTTATGAACTTGATACCAAAGTTTGTACCATCGATCCAGCCTGGCCTGTGGGTCCACCGCCTCCTATTCCGCATATCGCCTCTAGCAACAATCGCATTCATCTCAATCCAAAATTTTTAAATGCAACTGTAAGTACGATGTAACCTTCATTTTTAAATGGCTGGATCAGCTCCTTGTAGATTTTTAGTTTCTTTCTCTTTATTTAGAATTAAGTAGAATAGAAGGTAGCCTGGACTATTATCATCCCTATGGGTGGTGTTTACCATATATGACATCATGAAACCTGTTGGCAAGACAATTCTGTATTTAAAATAGGGTTGGATTTTGAATGACGAAGACAGTCGTTTCACACCAACAATTTAATTAAAAAGAAAGAAAGGGATTGTGGATTCGCTTGATTCCATTTCGTTACTCAGGCTCATGACAGTGCAAGAACCTAACTAGCTCGAGTCAAGCAATCTGACTGTTTCAGTCTCATAAAAAATTATCTAGCAATTCCAAGCTCATGAAGGTTAAGGTAACAGAGTATTCCCCAGTTATTTCTTCCTTTTCTTATCGAATACATTACAGAAAGAAGGGGACATAGGCAAAAACCTAGTTTTCAGTAAATTGAGTTTGAAGGTCTACTTTGTTTCTACTGACATGCAAGTGATAAAATTGCACAACCTAAGGTCAATTCTGTAGTGGAATTTGTTAGAGTTTGAATTAATCGTAACCTTTAAACGGCAATGTGAACATGTGTTCCTGAAGATAGCAAAAAAATGTAATCGAGTTTTGTCCCCTTTCTCCGGCAAACAAATTTTTAGGAGCTAATAATCATGAAATATTCGGGTTGAGATCAAACACAATATGTATTCCTCCAAAAATTAACATAAAATATTCTCCCTGACATTATTTAAGACATATTGTCATTAAAATAGAAAGAAAAGTATCATTTTGAGAGGCCACAGATTGTCTAGGAAGTTGCACGATGGGTGGATCCATGATGTGTGTTCATCCTTCCCAGAATTTTTATTCATTCTCAAGTTAAATACCCTGAGTTAATTACTCCTCAATATTTTTGATGAATCACATTGACTCTTGGCACGATTTCTTTATTTGATGAAGGATACAGACATAACCGTGTAGGTAAGTATATATCCCCTTCTTCTGATAAACTCATCCAATTACAGAAATCCAACCCATTTCACCCATCACACCATTCATTTAAATTAAGATATCGCCATGAAACTTAATGGATGCGTAACTTAATGGAAACTTAATGACAATATGAGGATTCAAATGAGCCAGGTACACGCATGTCCCCTTTTTCAGACAATGTATTCAATTGTTTTCCTTTCGTTTGTTTTTGTTTGGTTTCTTCCATTTATCTTTGTGTACTAAAGATCTAAAATTCACTGAATGCTGAGGAACTCATACTGTCAGTGAAGTTTGTTGACCTATTTAATGCATTGTCGATCCTCCTTTTTTTCAGACACCCTCACCAAGTGCTGCACCTAGTAAAAAATCCATTTTTTCTCCAACTCCAATTGGAACTCCATCTGTCGCCAAAACCCCAGAACAAACCATGTCTGCCGAAGAATTGAAAATTCAGAAAAAGAAGCTGGCTGAATTAGAAGAACTCAATAAGTTTCTTGACTCAAATATCAAAGCAGGGCAGCAGCAGATAAAGTCGAAGCAGCAGGTTGCCAGTTACCCTGTCGGAATCACAAACATTGAACAGCTTGAGGTTAGTTTTAAATCCATTTTCCTTATGAGTCAGTGGTACCCATTTTTTCAAATTCATCTTTTGAAAGTAAGGAGTGAACTGAGGCTCTTGGAATTTTCTCGGATTTTTACAAACCTTGTTGTGAAAATGCCGAAAGTGGAACAATATTTTTTGCGGGCTTTGATGGTCTAATGGCGGGAGAAATGACGTTTTATGATTGCCTGTACTCAGCTTTTATCTCCACCTTACTACATCAACTCAACTGTCGGCTCTTGATTGGTTTGATTTCTTTTAAAATTTTGTTATATTTCGGAATAAAATTTGAGAGGTGTCGAGGTCTCAATTTTTGTCCCTTTAAACTTTCGTCAGGTTTTGAACCTCCCTGACTTTCAGTTTCCTCTCTTTGTTAGTCATTAATGTTTTTTCTTTTCTCTTCCTACATTAAATTGTCCCAAACACAAGAAAATTCAAAGAGGGTATGGAAAACATTAGGCGGTGACTTTCAAAAGTAATCTTCTTGACTTATTCTAGCTTTAAAGAAAGGGACAGGTGTTCAAGATCATGAATAGAGAAGGGTGTCTTTAATTTTCACTTTACACATATTGCAATGACCACCGTCAACATTGTATTTTATTTTACAGAAACTGGTTGCCACTTGCGAAGCAGAGTTAGGAGCCCTCATACTAAAATGTTCAGAACTATCCAAGTCTCCCAAAAATATGGATGCTCTCAAAGAAGCTATGCTGAAGAAAAAGCTTCTGACCGATATGCTCAAAACGTTGAAAAGGAAACAACCAGTTTCTTCAGCACCACTCACAACAGTCACATCCAGCAAGCCAGTGGTTGCATCAACAGCAGTTGCACCCCATGCCTCAAGTTCCCTGGCAACAGACCTCAGTAGCTCTAGTCCTAAATCTTTGGCTGTCCCTGTTCCTAGCAAATTAGCAGCTTCATCTGGTCATAGGCAAGAGACGATGAATGTGGATGAAGTTACCTCAATCTCTTGTGACTCCACCTCGCTTTCAAAGGTAATTGGATTTCTTCTATAATTACTACTGTAAAACCTCAGTTAATTGTATCTTGAAAAAGGAAAAGAAAGATTCTGTTGTTTAACAAGTAAGGTCTTTGCTCCCATAGGGACCGATCAGATCAAAGTTAAATTACCAAAAATCGTTGGGTTGGAAATCGCCATCAGTTTTCATTCATCAAATAATTTTTCTCAAAAAATTTTTACCCTGTAAATTTCTAGTCACCTTAATTCTTTCCTTTAAACTGATCTTCTATTATTTTAGCCGAGACCAAAAAAAGGAAAAAATGCGATCACTGTTTCAGTCACCTGCCAATCTGGGTCATGGCAGGACGGAATTTGAGTTAGACATGAGCACATATTTGAGTCTAGCATCCGCCCCCTTAGTTTAACTTTCACTAAAAACATTTTTACTTGTGCAGTATCTCAGAATATTAAGATTCCAAAGGTACGTCTAACTAAAAATTAGGATAACAGAACTGCACCTGACCGAAAACTAGGATTCCAAAATTGCATCTGACCGAGTGCGCTCCAGCGAATTGCTGATAATAACTAGGGCAGTGGGAAAGAGAATGTCACAACATTCCCGTATTATTCATTACTTACCTCAGAATGGCACGACTGATTTTGCTTCATCGGACATGCCGCCAATGATGAATGGTGCCTGAGCAAGAAAACACTGGATCACTTCTGCTGCTTTTCTGATTCCCTTTCCAACGTATCTTTGCTGTCCTATTCTTTTTCCTTCTGATGTCCCATGTTCCATCACTATATGTTGAATTTCTTGTCCAATCGAATTATGTTTCTCCTATCTCTCGTGTTATTGCAGTCCTTGACCCTGTCCCAGTGTCATCAACTCTTCGTGTTAATGTCCATTTTCCACTAATCAAATATCTCCTCAGCATGGACCATGTGATTCCATTTGCATGAAAGTTCGTTGGTGCCTGGCAATCCTGTATCTAATTAAATGTGAACTGTCTGAGACTTAGATAAGAAAGTATTTGTGACTGCTTTCTTCTTTACTTGCAATAATTTGGCCAAAATAGTTGAAGATACGTATAAAAAATTCTTTGTGGTAAAAAATCCGTTTGTAAAGCAGACTCTAATTTAGTCAGGATTCGAGTAAACCTTGAATTATTATCATAATTCTTATGGGAAATTAACGGACTCGGGCAAAAAATTTGACTTAGTGAGAAATTCATTCAAGTGGCTTACAACTAAAGGAGAGCAGGATTGTTAGGTGCCACACTAGGGTCCCTGCAGTTTTAATGTGAAGAGAAAGATAATGAGAGGAAGGGAAGTCAGGATTGCCAGATGCTAAACAAGAGATTATGCAACCATGGTACACACTAAACTCTCTCAGTCTGACAAGAAGTCAAGCAGTCAGTCAGTGTGAGCTGAAGCCTATTGATTGCATTAGAGTACCTATAGACAGAGTATGGCCATTCTTATCTTCTTAGCACAGCAAAGTTGTGCCTTTCCTTTAATTAGAGTACCTATATTGAGACAGTATGGCCACTGGGCCCCATGGAGAGGCTTAGGACCCAAAAATGGCGGTGCTTTGTTTTGGTTTTTGTGGATGGGAGGGGGGTCATTGCCAACTTTTGACGGTTATCACCAACCGCACTTGCTGCCAACCTTACTACATCTAAGATACTTTTTCTCAAAAATTGCACACTATTAGCCTTAAAAATATGTAAAGATGTCGCAATAGTGCATTTGAGTAAATTTCTCGTTACGATAAGCAAAGAAAACTACATTTTGAGTCATTTTGCATTACATTAATTTATGGCGTCCGCCATTTTTGGGTCCCAAGGGCTCCATTCAGCCTAAGATGGCTGAGCCAATCAGAGTTGGTAACCCCAGTGGCCATACTCTCTCAATATAGGTACTCTACCTTCAATTGGTCTACAAATTATAGGCTACAACCATACATAAACATACATACCTATTGTTGGATAAGCTTCTAAAATTAAAGCCAACCCTCTCAAGAGAAATTACTCCAGATGCTTTGTTACCAACCCACTGTTTCTGGATTAACCCACTTTATAGTATTCTGCGAAGTATAATGTTAATGTGCTTCAAAATTAGTCCTAGAGTTTTTTCCTCCCTCTAGATGATTATAGTGCGGGGGCATACGTAACAAAACATATGTCCCGTGTGCAGGTTTGTGAAGGCATATTGTGTGATACGTCAATCTCTTCGTTTTGATGTCTAGAAAAAGAAAATCGATGATGGCCATCTCAAATTTCATACAAACCCCCCCCAAAATCAAGATGGCGGCCAAAATGGCGGTTTTGGGGTAAAAAAATTTAAAGTTTGCAAATACGTCGTGTCGGGTATCGATTCTTATGTATTTTTGATCGTAGAGTCCGAATTTTCAGTCAAAAGTTAGCTCAAAGGTCATTTTCAGGCCAAAATCCAAGATGGCGTCCAAAAATACCTCTTACGGGTGATAATTTGCCTATTCGGGTCTACATGCATTGTGAGGTATCAATTATTAGGTTTTCAGGGTCGTAGAGTCCGAAAATGAGGTCCATTTTCCACTACGGCCCTCAAGAAGCCCTAAAATCAAAGATGGCGCCCAAAATGGCCGCCGGTCTTGCGGATGAAACTGCCATTTAGGGCAGCTATAACAAACAATACGTTCAAAATTAAGTTTCTTGGGTCAAGAAGTTCAAATAGGAGATCAGATGTTTACTCCTACAAAAAATTAAGCCTCCGAATCGAAAATGGCTGCCGACATTGTTGCCAGTTAAAGGCGCAGACCGGTAAATGACTGATATTAAGGGATTTGCCGAAGGAGGGGTTTCGATAAGGGCCGTTGTTGGGCCCATACCCTGAAATTCTTCAATTTTACGATTGTTTGCTCATTTAAAGACTAAAGTTTGCGGAATGTATCATGATTTTGTCATTTCCGGTCTATTTAGGGGTCTAATACCGGCCTAAACATGAGACTAAAGGCCGATTTTGGCGAAAAATGCGGGGTTTTTTACATTCGACGTGACGCTGTTTCATAACGATCCCATCATCGGAGGAGATTGTTGTCCTTAAAGTACGTTCATTAAGGATGTAAGATAGTCACTTTGCCCAATTTTCGTTGATGGCAAACCTTGCGCTCAGAGTTAAAACGATCTTCTTATAATTTTCTTGTTTTTCATCGTTATTTAAAATGGCATAGAAAGGGCGACTCATCTTAAACCAGAAATAGATTCCTTGGTGGAAAATGTACGCAGCTTGCCATAACTGTCCTCCAAAAAATTAATGGATTAAAGCCTCCCCCCCCCCAAAAAAAAGGAAAACCTGTGTTGCCATATTTTATTGCCTAACATCACAGAAAACCGCGTGATTATATCAGTATTTGGAGGCTGTTCTTCGTAGAGCACATTATTAGCAAAGCTCAAAACCCTTGATTTTTCATACGTTACGATCGCATGATTAGTGATTATATAAATGCAATGGAGATGTTGCATGTGTGAGGAATTTGCAATTTGACTATGGATTCTTATGTAGAAGTTCGCGAGAAACACGATGGTGCCAATGGCTTTCTCTGAAATCAACTTCCAAGCTCAAAAAAAGCTCTTAAGTTGAGACCAAAATGGAGGGGATATCCCGCGCTATCCTGAGAGTCCACCTGTACATCAAGACAAACTCTCCATGCAAAGATAGGGAGCAAATACATTAGCAAGGTTGCTGCGTTTTCTGTTGTGGAGTCCCCAAATAAAGTGGTAGCCCTGTGAATGTACTTGCTCCTTATCTTTGCATAGAGAGTTTGTCTTGATTTAGAGGTGGACTCTCAGGATAGCGTGGGATATCCCCTCCATTTCGGGCTCAATTTGAGAGCTTTTTTTGAGCTTGGGAGTTGATTTCAGAGAAAACCAGTGGCACCATCGTGTTTCTCCCGAACTTTTACGTAAGAATCAACAATCAAAGCGCAAATTCCTCATATATGCGAAATCTCCATAATCCATCATTATTTTGTTTATTATATGTAAGTATCTGTAGAGACTCCCATCGTGGCGCGGCATTCGTACATATCATCGGTAAAAATCGAGAAAAATCCTAGTTGGCCGAGGATTTCAGCCACTTTCTCGGAATATGAGCATTTTGAAATAAATATGTGAGACTCGAATTGCAGTATTCAGAGATGCAAGTAGATTATATTTTGTGTTAGTGATAATTGCTTTAAAATTTTGGGCTTGTAGGTGGCCCATTATCTTACGAATTTAGTACACGATATTTACAAACGAAGGTGCAACTTTGAATCATTGACCGTGATCTGAGATCCGAAAAAAAAGTAAGCCATGTGTCAGAATCACGAGTGCTTAATGCTGATTTTTCACCACCCTGACAATCCCTGCCCCCCGCCATTCTTATTGCCTGCGATCGATCAGAATTCTGCTTCCTAAAAATATTTTGAAACCCTGGTTTCCCTCACTTCTGCCCAGCCACCTAACAGCTTCCTCATCAGTTACTTCTTCATCAGGTTCCCTGTCTCCTGCATCAAACCTCTTGTTTGGAGCTGCCATGTCATAATTTTAGAGAAATGACGCATGCATGTTAATCTAGCAGTAACGCTTAGTTTTTCTGGCTCAGACTTATGTCTGTAATGAGTGAGGCACCAAATGAGAGATGCAATATGAGCTCAGCAGTTGACGACTCTATCGCCCACTTTGCACAGGTAATACCACCCGGATAAGACCATGTTCTATGTCGTATTGCCTTTTAACCAATATTACACATTTTATTGCAATGAATTTTTAGTTTTGGATAAGGCTAGCATTCTCAGCGCGATGATAGTAGAATTCTCATTTTGGTTTCAATGTTGCATTTTTCTCGATTTTTACCGATGATATGTGGGAATGCCGCGCCACGATAAGAGTCTCTATAGATACATACATGTAATAAACAAAATAATAATGGATAATTGCATTTATATAATCACTAATCATGCGATCGTAACGTATGAAAAATCAAGGGTTTTGAGCTTTGCTAATAATGTGCTCTACGAAGAACAGCCTCCAAATACTGATATAATCACGCGGTTTTCTGTGATGTTAGGCAATAAAATATGGCAACACAGGTTTTCCTTTTTTTTTGGGGGGGGGGAGGTTTTAATCCATTAATTTTTTGGAGGACAGTTATGGCAAGCTGCGTACATTTTCCACCAAGGAATCTATTTCTGGTTTAAGATGAGTCGCCCTTTCTATGCCATTTTAAATAACGATGAAAAACAAGAAAATTATAAGAAGATCGTTTTAACTCTGAGCGCAAGGTTTGCCATCAACGAAAATTGGGCAAAGTGACTATCTTACATCCTTAATGAACGTACTTTAAGGACAACAATCTCCTCCGATGATGGGATCGTTATGAAACAGCGTCACGTCGAATGTAAAAAACCCCGCATTTTTCGCCAAAATCGGCCTTTAGTCTCATGTTTAGGCCGGTATTAGACCCCTAAATAGACCGGAAATGACAAAATCATGATACATTCCGCAAACTTTAGTCTTTAAATGAGCAAACAATCGTAAAATTGAAGAATTTCAGGGTATGGGCCCAACAACGGCCCTTATCGAAACCCCTCCTTCGGCAAATCCCTTAATATCAGTCATTTACCGGTCTGCGCCTTTAACTGGCAACAATGTCGGCAGCCATTTTCGATTCGGAGGCTTAATTTTTTGTAGGAGTAAACATCTGATCTCCTATTTGAACTTCTTGACCCAAGAAACTTAATTTTGAACGTATTGTTTGTTATAGCTGCCCTAAATGGCAGTTTCATCCGCAAGACCGGCGGCCATTTTGGGCGCCATCTTTGATTTTAGGGCTTCTTGAGGGCCGTAGTGGAAAATGGACCTCATTTTCGGACTCTACGACCCTGAAAACCTAATAATTGATACCTCACAATGCATGTAGACCCGAATAGGCAAATTATCACCCGTAAGAGGTATTTTTGGACGCCATCTTGGATTTTGGCCTGAAAATGACCTTTGAGCTAACTTTTGACTGAAAATTCGGACTCTACGATCAAAAATACATAAGAATCGATACCCGACACGACGTATTTGCAAACTTTAAATTTTTTTACCCCAAAACCGCCATTTTGGCCGCCATCTTGATTTTGGGGGGGTTTGTATGAAATTTGAGATGGCCATCATCGATTTTCTTTTTCTAGACATCAAAACGAAGAGATTGACGTATCACACAATATGCCTTCACAAACCTGCACATGGGATCACGTATGCCCCCGGACTATTATATTTTTCATCAGATTTTAGTAATTATTTCATCAATTCCATCAAGAGAGAACACAACGGTTGCCAAGATTCGACATCATGTTTGTTTACTTACTGCCGTATGCGCACCGAATCAGCCTACTTTTCATGACTTATGAAAAACCGGCGCACAAATGACCATACTCTGTCTATGAAGATACTCAAGATTGAATGCCTTATGTAGTTCTTTATCAGAATTATTTTGGTCTCTCATACTAAAGAGGTAAATGAATTATCTCTGTTTCAGCAGCAATCGCCCCGAGCAAAGTCTGTGGCTGCACCCTCACAAGCCCCTCGTGTCGCAATTAGCCCCGCTAGCTCTCTTCTCATAAACGCTGCTCAACGTGTGAGGGACCCGCGTCTGAGGAAGTTAAAGGACAGCAAATCGGGAGGAACGTCTCCTCCGGTTTCGTCTCCTGTATCCTCACCTGCTGAAAGCAACTGCGCTATCAACAATGGTGCCCCCTCCAGTCCAAGGAAAGGGGTAGTGGATGCTGCGAAGGAAGAAGCTGATGCACTGAAACCTGAGAAAAGTACCGAACGAAGCAAAGATAAGGAAAAGCGTAGGAAATCGAAAAAGTCTAGTAAAACTGATACACATCCTTCTAGTCCTAGTAAGCAATCAGATCTTCTGAATAATAGTATGAAAGAGAAGTTTTTAGAAAATATAGCATGTAAGGCCTATTTCCTAACCTCATCCAAACCTCTAACTTATGCTATCCTTGTCCATTAACACTTAAAATATCTCTTAAATGTGATGGAAATATCCCAGTTATTTCATTATTCTTACCTGTGGTCCTCATAATAGTCCAAATGTTGTTCTCTACTCATTTCTGTAAATGAGTACTTGAAAGCGCACCCAGCAAGTTAGCCAATGTTCAAGCATTAGCTTTTTAGGTTATTTTCAAGTAGTTGCTCTCTCTCAATTTTTATCTCAATTTTCCTTCATAACTCAATGCTAACTTAGTGCAAGAATGAGCATTCGTAGTCTGACACATGAAAAGTTTGATTTTGGTTCCATATCATACCGTTTTACCGATGGGGTTAATGTGTGAAGCCAAAGTTCATCTTTGAACTGCTCCAAAGTAATGCAATAGATTCATATCTGTACGAAATCAAAACCCTGGTCTCCTTTATCTTAGATTTCAAGGTGTCAGTCAAATTTTCGTCTATTGATTTTTTGACTGAAACCCATTAAGACAGGGAAAGTGTATGCAATCGAGTTCTGAAGGCACACATATTTTGACAGTAACCATGAATATGATTAATAACATTTATTAGGGCTGTTTCGTTTTGAGAAATTCTCATATTTAGTGTGAGTATTAATTCCATTTCTTTTTTTATGAATACACTACCACTTATTTTTCAGAATAGGAGAATTTCTCAATTTTTCTGCTTCCCCCCCCCCTTTTTTTTTTCACCTGAAGGAACTTCACCTATCTTTTAGTGGAAAAACTGAAAGCTTTTTTCCTCCAAAAGCCGAAACTGTTAGTTCAGTATAGTAAAATTTAACAAGCTTCAACGCAACTACTATGCGTTCTAGGTACCTAAATGGTTTACCTAATTTTTTTTTTTTTTTTTTTTTTTTTTTTTTTTTTTTTTTTTTTTTTTTTTTTTTTTTTTTTTTTTTTTTTTTTTTTTTTTTATTTATTTTTTTTTGTTTTTGTTTTTGTTTTTTTTATTTTTTATTTATTTATTTTTTTTTGGAGCAAAACTACATTCTTATTTAGCAAATGTAAGCACAATTTTGGAATACTTTGAAGCCAAAAATTATATGGGGGAGTAAAGGCTGTTGAAGTCTTCGGTCAGAGAACAGGATTCCAGTTTGTCCTAATTTTCTGATGCAATATTTCTGTACCTTGCTGCAGGCCGGTCTGTAATTATATCAAAGGACTGATTAGTTTTAAGTAAATTATCTGTGATATCCCCTCTCCATCCTTCACCATTTTCCCATTTTTCCCTTTTCCTCAAAATCCTCACACCCTCAAAATATGTCTTACAATCAGATGTATTTTCTAAAAACAACTCTCTCATTAAATTTTTATTTTTTAACGCATACTGACTTTCTCATATGTATGTATATACTTATATATTTATCTTTTTTTTTCCTTTTTTAATTGGGTATTTTAAGTGTCCTTTTGCATACTTTTTTTATTCCTTCATTTTCTGACTCCGAAAAGGAGAAGTCTTGCTCTCTATTTTGAGCACTGTTCAAGTGCTTTCTCTTCTTTTTGTGAAACATTGTTTTTTTTTCTGAATTATTTTTGAATAGTTTTTCTTACTTGGTAGCTCATAGTTCCTTGTTTATCGGCTGTGTACTTTTTACAAATATATAACTTTATACAATTCGCATTCATTAACGTGAAAGTATTATGAGTAGAATGAATCATAGTTGCTACAGATAGCCGAGAAAAGGTAATCCTTCAACCTTTACCCTTTCTTTCATCGGTTCAATCATGAAAAAGCCTCAAGGCTAAGAGGGTGGATTTTAAAAGGCACGGGTCCTTTTTTCATGTTCTTCAATAATTCTTTTAATATCATCAGTAGAGAATCTTGCTTGTAAAGTTGAAACTTGGGCCCTGGAACTTGCGTCAGCACAAATAATCCAGTTGCGTTCATTTTGAATGAATACCATGAACTCATCAGTGTCTCTTAGTTTTTTGTGTGATATTTCTCTCTAATCAGTATCAGTCATTCCTCACAAATCATCTGTAAGTTGTAATTCCCATCTAACACTCAGGAGAGTAATATTTCCTTTTCCTCAGCCTCGTGATGAAAGATACTTTAAAGTTAGCAAGAGGCTATATGGCTGAGAAAGATCAGTTTTTAAAATTATTGGTAGGCAAAAAGGGTGACTTTAGAACTTGCAAGGCCAAATTTTTCAGAATTTTTGACTGGTATGCTCTGAGTGGATTAAGCTTTTCAGGTATTCCTAAATATGTACCTGAAATTAGCCAAAATAAGGCACATCTTTAGACCTAGTCTCCTAACTTTAGAACAAAAGCCCTCGGAGCGTCTATTTTTTTAAGGGGGAATTTCAACACTGTAATGTATCACAAGGAGTCAAATTCGTAATCATGCCTTAGACGTTGAGGCCCTCTTAACCAATGTAATTCCTCAATTCTTATAGCTCAAGCTGACCATCAAATTTAAAAAGTAATTATGAATACAGCTCTGAAGAGCAGTCGTATCTATTTGTCCAGATGGATACCAAAGGCATATCCATCTCATGTTTAGAGTTCAGCAGCCTTCAACCTTCATTTCAATTTCTGATGGATATCAGAGTTAAGGGAAGGAAAGATTCCTCGGAATCAAGGAAGACAGCGAGTGACTTTTTTTTTCGTAGACAGTTGTTATGAACCTGTCAATAATTTTGATGATTTAAAAAAGGGGGTAGGATGAAAAAAAGAATAATAATAAATTAGTATGTACAACCACAAGATCTACAAGACTCCTAATGTGAACTTAAGAAACATCCAGAACTATCTCAAGAAGTCAATCATAAGAGAATATTAGAAAAGATAATAAATCCAATATTGTTGAAGAATTTGTATTTATGAAGTGATAAAGGGCAGCTTTGTACTCAACCACCCATAAAAATGATGGTCTCCATATCATTTTTCACCTCCTTGCTCTTCGTCAAAGATACAATATCCCAAAGCTGTTCTTAAGTTCAGCAAAATTGAGGGGATTTTTTCCCCCACGTTTGTAATTGTATCAACACAGAGTTGATCTGGTCTATACAATCCTATTTCACCAAATCTTGGCAAGAATTTGCTCTGGAAAGAGCAAAATATAGAACAAATTTTTTCTATGCTGAAAATAAATGAAGACAATTTTGCTATTGAAATTCATTGCCAAAAACTGTCTTTTACCCCAATATCTATTCACCTCCCCTCCCCCTCCTCCCTCATATGTATTTTGCCTGTCGGCTCAACAAAGAACGCTGTCGCATCATTTTTAAGGTGTTTTAAAGACATATTTTTTTTAGGAGCAACACTTGCAACAATTTTTGATAACAAGCCACCAGAGTTGGGCGTGAATAATTCGGCAATTACTGATATTGGTGCAGCAACGCTGACTGGACGCTCGGTCCTCGGAATTCTCTACCTGATAAGATAGATCAATCGTCAAATCATTCGCCCGATTGACAATTGATGGGACATTGCTGATTGACCGAATAATTTTTCCCCAACTCTGCAGGGCACAATGGTGTTTTGTTTGAAATTATTTTTTATCAAGGGGGCTGGGCTTATCTTCACGCGTTAAATTTGAGACACCCTGTTGTAGCAATTGTTGTGCAACAATTGAAACCAGCCCCAGAGAATGTTTTTATGTTGATATGGAGCACTGTTTTCAGTCGCTACCTCGAATATTATCTTTTATTGACCATTCAGAATTGAGTAAACAGAAACAACAATTCTTTGCTACAATCAAAATATGTTTCCCATTGTTGACCAATTTTTTGTTTTACCAATAAAACAGTCTATGCAGCAATATAAGTACCATTAAAGCTAAGCTATATCTACAATCTAAATTTTTATCCTTATCACTGCTACGTTCTTTCTGTTGAAAGACTCAGAGCATTAAAACACTTCAGTATTTTAAGTATAATGGACAGAATGATGCTCACAGTTTTACCCCTTGAACAAAGCATGAATTAAGTTTCTTGCACTTGAGTCCCGGATTCATGAATTTAAGTAAATCCTGAAAAAAGGAGGTAGCAAAGAACTTTAGGATTAATATAGGGGCTTCAAACCTCTCATAAGTTCGTAAAGGACTTAATGGAATGGAAAAAACTTTGGGGGACAAAGGTTTTCGTAAGTCTCTGAAGAAAGGCATATGGCTGAGCATGTCTCACATCCCTGGTTTGCTGGATACCAGGGATGGGAGGCAGCAGTTACTGCCAATGCATTTTATTCCTGCTTTTAAATTATAAAAATATATTTTATTAATTAAAAGTATTGTAAAAGTTACAAATTGTACGGCATTTAACTCAAATATCCTCTCTTAAGTAAGAGATATGGATCATCAGTCCAGGATTTTTCTTCTGTGAAGGCTGTTTCCTTGATCCTATCAGATGGTAGAAAATAATGAGTATTGGATAAATTCATGATAAAGTAAGAAAAATAGCATGATCTCCGGCTTTAGCGAAATGATTATCTTAAGTCGACAGTACTGAACTTGATGGTTGTAAATTCAATCAATCAAAAGTTACTTCCGGCAGCTGTGAATGGTGCCTGTCATAGCAGTCATTTGAGGCAAGATTACGCGACAGATATTAGGATTCTCTCACAAATATGGTGAAGAGGGGTGTCAAAGTTCATTCCCTGATCGCTGCTGAGCTGGTAGGTTGATACGGATCAATCTCTGTCAGTGTCAAATCATCGTAAACTTTTGGTACACGTATTTAAGATAATGAAAATGACTCACTAGGAATAGCACAATATTCCCTTTCCTCAAAAATTTGCCAATCTTATATCCTGCTTGACAGAAGTAAGCGGCTTCCCATTACCTCTCAAAGTGTTTTTGTATCTGAAAGGAGTGATGTCCCTTTAGACCAAAACGTAATGAATTCTTGTTTTCAAATTTTTTTTATGCGTCATTTTCAATT